AACAGCAACATATAACTGACCATGACTGAAAACTGGTTTCTTCAAGAATAAACCAACGTGGGATAACGATTGACCCTGGCTCTTGTTAATAGTCATTGCATAAGAGACCATGATTGGGAACTGCCTTCGTTGAAACTTAAAAGGTATTCGTGCATCTGAAGTAGTTATCGTCATTCGAGGTACCAACACTTTTTCCCCTGCATGGTCCCCCGTAAGTATCCTACATTCTAGGACATGCTTGGAGAGTCTGGTTATAACCAAACGTGTCCCATTGCACAATCCCTTAGAATGATCCATGTTCCGCAACAGCATAACCGGAGTTCCCACCTTCAAATTCAACTCATGATTTGGCGTACCAGAACATTTGAGAGAATTTAAGAACTCAGGAGTGTGGATTTCTGACAAGAAGTCAGAACTCTGGTCGGATTTACACGTACTGTCGGAGCTCAAATATACACGACCTTCTGTTAGATTCAAGGACGAAATGTATTGGTTAATAGACTCAACCATCTCCAACGTAGGTGCAAGTATGGTTCTGTCCTTCAGATAACTTGGATCATCTGTTGCATTCTTGAACATTGGATACGTGCTCTCAACAATTGCTGCAATGGGATCATCGGACGGAGCTATTAACAGATCATCTGGGATTTCAATGGAGGCACAATCATCGTTATAACCTCCAATAGTACCATCTTCGATGCTAGCAATCCAATCAGCAAAATTAGAAAGCTCCTCACGTTCATCCGAATCATCAAGGCTCTGAAGACGCATGTTCTTCGTAAGCCTAAGCACAGTACAATCTTGCCAAATGGTTGAAGCATTTATGGAAGCGTTAACAATTTGTTGACGATTTCCATTTGGAATCACCGGGAGAATTTGTCGAAAATCTCCACCGAAAACGACAGTCTAGCCACCAAACGGTTTAAAATGGTTGATCGGGTTGACCGAACCCATGATCGCCTGAAATGACGTTTGAACAACTTCGAAGCAATGTTTATGCATCATTGGAGCTTCGTCCCATATGATGAGGGAGGACTGTATAATTAGTTCTGCAAGAGGGCTAGCCTGGTTGATGTCACACGATGAATTTTCGTGAAGATTAATTGGTATGCCAAAGCGAGAGTGTGCAGTCCTTCCACCAGGCAACAGAAGAGAAGCTATTCCACTCGATGCAACACAAAGCACGATCTCATCCTTTGATCGTAATCCCGCAGCTAAAGTCTTCCACAAATATGTCTTGTCGGTTCCGCCATAACCGTAGACAAAAAAAACACCGCCTTGACCCGAGTGTACCGCTTCCATAATCTTTGAATAAATTCCTTTCTGTTCGTCAGTCATATTTCTAATAAGAGTACTGTGCTCGACTGATAATGCCTTGCGGTCATAACTTAGCTCATCAAGAATCAAAATTTGTAGTAAAACTTGTCATATCAGGAAAAGGCATTGTTGGATATTCCCGAAGACTTGTGCCGCGACGTCTCAACAAATGTTCGATCTCAGCGAGAGCTAAATTCTTTCTGTATGCATCACTGAGCTGCAAGCCTAAGAAAGAAACGGAATTGAAGACAGAATTTAAAAAAAAAAAAATCAAATACACTACTAAAAAAAGAAATGAAAAATAATAAATTAAACAATAAAATATAAATAAAGAATAAATAACATACTTTCATTATTGAAGAGAATACGTTGCCTATAAGTGATGTCATCAGAGAGAAAATCCAAGCACGTTTCCCATACGTGCTCGGGTCTACCTAAAGATCCCGAGACCAACAACGTTGCAAACATACGTCAGAGAGAATCAGCAGATGTCCAATGACTTGCTTCAGATATCCCATCAATGTACTCACGATCGTCACCCAACAAACCTAGGGCATGGCAGGCATCACGATACGACGAATATTGAACGTTGTCGACCTTCATATAATCCTCGTGGGAAGTTGCTTCGCGTATTACATTAACCAAGCACCTCAAATAGAAATTATCGCCAGCGTTAGGAGGAACATAGCGCAGACGGGCTATAGCGCGTTCTCTGATTCGAGGAGTCC